TTGAAGCACGCAGATACTTGATGCCGAAATATCTACTTAAAACGCTATTTCAAGGGGTAATTTTTTATAGGAAGCGTTGTAAGCATAGTAATATCTGACTTTTTGTGGACTTTCATTTCTCTCGGCAATGACTGGACATGTTTGGGTGATAATAAAACCATGACCCAAACAGACAGGTGCATAATAAAGAATGTCCAAAAACTGATTATTTAGGTAAATGCGGCTAAGAATTATCCTATTTTGAAGGTTTTGTTAAGCACAGAGAAGATAATCCTTATTTATAGACCATCGACTGAAACCACTGAAAATCGTTAAGTGCTTACCAACATTTAAAAAACGATCTGAACCTCGTTGTAATCGAAATCCCGAAATAATTAAAAATAAATGTGGATGAAAGGAAATTTATTTGTGTGCACAAAATGGTACGATTACGATTGCACTTGACAATTTAATTTAAATTCATTAGTCACTGAACGGCATTCCCGCATGTGGGCTCAAGAAATATCTTACGACCTTTCAATCGGTGTAATCAAGGGAACAGCTGGTCGCCTTTATCCACCATACCTCCAACGATTTAAAAACCAAAGAAACAACTAGCTATTTTCATGAAACCATGTTGGAATACATACTCGAACTTTGGGCTGTTCGGTAACAGCCATACGTTAAATTGTGCGTAATACAGAAGCATATGTATCGGAAAATTTAAAGAAAATGATTATTCTCCAACGAAATTCTACTTGCGCTGCTTTATTCTTTCTTTTTTTGCATGAACAAGCTTCCTCTAAATTTAACACAAGTCAGCCTAGTACGCCTGACTTCCACTTTTTCGGAATTTTCCACTTTTCTAAAAAGGATATTTTTCAGGAACGTAATATTACTTGATAAACTACAAGATTACTACCGTAAGACACTGGGGGACGCAACGTGAAATACATTTGTGTAACAGGGGTTTTCTTACAAAAATCCTTGGGTTTCATGAGTTAGCGCACCTACTGTATATGGCAATACGGTAGAATCTGGTAAAGCATCTTGCTAGCTTCCTGTGCAATTCACAAACGGAAACGATGCCACGCAAACGGTAGGCATTCCTCTTGGACAAATTCAATCGAAATCCTTAGGGAGGATGTTCAGATACTTAAAAGAGTAGGTTTTTGTGCTCGGGGGAATAGAACATTTCGAAAGCATTCAGAAGGACTTGCTTAAACAGCGCTTTCTGTCAGTTGTATTCCACAATGCGACAGCTCCGGTACAGTGCATTATCTTTGCCATTTAAAGCTATTATTTAGCAATCAAGCAACATTATTTTTGACCTAAATGGTATGGATTTTTTCTCAGTCAATGCATAAAAGGTCAGCAAAAGCAAAACTGGTCAAAATAAGGAAGGTTTTCGAACAGAGATGGGCACTGTTTTTCTTGGGTCAAAGACTGACTACCAACGAAGAAGCTTAAAGCATTAACAAAAGAAAGCAAAATTACAAGGTGTTGAAAATTAAATGACAAGATCGGACACGTACCTCTTGGGAAATCTCAGGATCCGAAATTAGAAAATAAGTGTACACATTTGCCTTAGAATCTGGCAGGCCGACGGCTGAAATTTCCAGGACCGATTCGATGCTTTCAATAGTAAAGGGGGCGCCAGAACGGACGGCAATTCTCGTATTTGCCAAATCGAAAAGTAGCCGCTGGGAGCCCGTGAAGTCGTATGCCTCGTTATCCAGAAACGCGAAGAGCACATCTTTCTTTAGATTATAATTCTTCCAAAAACAAAAAATAAATAAATGATAAAACAGTAAAAATGCAGTCTGTATAAAATAATTGCAGGAAGCGGAAACGGCATGTTGTCGGCTGTACTAAAAATCAGTCCAAAAAAGACGAAAAATGTTTATATATCTTTAAGTGAACGTTTTAAAATCTATTCAGTTAGTTAATAGAAATGAGGTGATCTAGAAACACTCGGCTAACAGTAACATTCTGGCTCTTGTGAAGGAAGTAGTGGTCCCTCATGCCTACTCTTCTACCGGGTCGGTGTTAGTTCCAGATGCCAATTTACGACCGGATAGCTTAGTTTGCTGGCGATAGGAACACAGAGCAAAGTCGATGTTGGATCCATGTGTCGGAGATCTATAACCTTTCGGTATTTTATTATTGTTCTGACTAATAATTTAAGTATAACTGAGAGCAAATTTTTATTTTGGTTTTGCATCACAGGTCTATTTTATTGACAATGTACGCTACGTCATGTATTTTAGCATTCACCTATACATTTTTTCACATACAGACCAACCAAACGAAATTAGATTGAACTGGTAATTTAATTACTACTCTGTGAGAAAGGGTCCTTTAGTGTCACATTTTCAACCTAATTAAGACTTCAGTTTTGTAATCAAGGCGCAACGGCTTTTGAACGTTCGTTAACATACTATAGCACGCAACAGGCCCACCGGATCGAGTGGCCCTTCAGAATGGGTC